CCATCGACGATCAAGGTCGTGGCTCCTGGAAACGTTTCCCCGCAATATTCGGCGAGAAAGCTCTGCCAGCGGGTTTATCTAGTTCGAGCCGAGTTTCTCGTCGGGAACGGATATCGATTCCATTAAGCACGATGTTGTTGGTAAATTCTGTTATATCGTAGTCCAATGCGTTATCGTATTGGGTATCGGTGAAATGTTTCTCTCCAAGTTCTCTAATATCCTTGTCGTTACATAGTTCTTAGCATATATAGAGTTGAAGGCTCGTAGAAGGATCTTAATATTGTCGTTAAAGATTCTAAATATACGTTCTTTGGATGTTATATTATAGTATAGTTTATTTTTTGCTTCATTTAACGTTGCATCAATTATCTGTATGGTTTATTGGAGGATAAGGTTACAATTTTGTATTCTACGATGAATAATGTACTTTATTATCGTAGTCAGATATAGTTGGCATTTAAATTGGATTTTAATAATTAATGAGATTTACGTTATAATATAAATAATAAATAATTCTTATCATTTTTCTGACTTATGTCTTGGTGGTAACACTTAATAAACAAATAAATCGATTTTTAATATAAAATCTTCAATTTGAACTTCAATATATACAACATATATAGAAAAATAAATAAAAAAATCTGTTTTTTTTAAGAACAGGAAACAGTCCCGTAATTAAAATCTCAATATCCGGTTTTTAAAACGCCGTATTTCCCATGTTCCTGGATCACTCGCATTCCTAAACCACTCTGTCAGTCTTCCACTCGGCGCTAAAACTCTCAACCCTCTCGTGAATCTCGTATATTCGTAGCCGAAGAAGCCCCACACGCGCAATTAGCAGAGCCCTTATACGGGGAGGAGGAGGGCTGGAAAGAGGGCCGGTGCCTAATTAAAATTTCACTTAACACGCAACGTTGCAACCTAACAAGCTTGCGGAACGGCTACATTGCTACATTTTTTTCTCCACGAAATAATTCTTCTGGACCACCCTATCTGCGACAGAATCCATCGAACTCGAACACGGTTGTGCGTCGTCGAAGCGCGACAACCCGAGTGCATTCTCGCTCTTTTCCCTCCTTCTTTTTCTTCCTTCTCTCTTATTTTCTACCGCACTGCTACTCTTATAACGAGACCGCAATTAACGAGGCCAGGCCGGGCACCAGCAATTTCGAGCATTCGTGTAACGTCGATGGATGAGAGGCGAGGAGGGGGAGAGGAAGAGGATCGTTTCTAAGTCATGCCATCCGGTCCTGTGGTAAATTCCGTCCGGTTCGGCTAATCGGCTGCGTGCATCCCAAATGAGCCTGATCCCCCGCAGAGGGTTGCACCATGTATTTTAAACGTATGCAAAGCTGAAGATTGGCCGCACGATTTATGCCGTAATGTTGAAACCGGATTTCGCGCGATACAATTACGCGAGAATGGGTGCAGCACCCTGCCTGAAAATTAAATTGAATGGAGAGATTGGATTTGGTGCGTAATAAAGGGTTGAATGGAGGATTGTTGATTTTGGTGGATGGATAAGAGAGGGCAGTGAGACAGTTTCTTGGAATTGTCTTGCAGAGACTGTCTAAAATAATATTTTTGGAAAATAAAATAAAGCAAACAAAGATTCTGTGAGTTTATAAATATTTTTTAAACAGTTATAGCTCTTATTTTGGATAGCATAGAGCTCTGATTAAATAACAATAATAACAAAAAAAATAGAAAGGCGCGTGTGAGTGTCGAAAGAATATTTCAAGATTTTAGTAAGTGAATTATAGAGAATTGTTATTTTTTGGCACCGGTCCTGGAACTCATCCTTCTCCAAAACTAGCTACGTGACTAAATATATACAGATATATTTCTTCTTCGAAACACGAATGCTGGATAAATCTTAAACGAATCCCGTGGCAACCTCTTTACATCGAAAATCTTGTTACTACAAATTTTAAACAACTCCATTTTGCATCGATTAATCTTATTGTAATCCTGGTTGTCAAGGAGGAGGAGAAAATATGGATCGATCAATTCGATCGGGATGTGTAATTCTTCTCTCGATCCTTGAGAACGACTTCTCTAATCCGATAAATATATTATCTCGAAGATAACTCGAAGAGGAAACATCTTGTTGCTCTTGTTACTACATGATGCATCTTGGGCATCGATCGCATGAACCACCACGTTGAACGGGCCACGGTGAAAAAAAAAAAAAAAGAAAAGGAAGAAAGAAAGAAAGAAAGCGATTGTCGAGGAGAAATTCCTTTTTCAAGTCCTGTCGGACCTCCGCTGCTGTCGGACTGGGAACAATGGAATCAACGGCGGCCGCGATATACGCGACGCAAGTGTACCGTGAAAAGAAAATGCATCTCGGCCGCGTGTTTCAAAAGATCTCCTCGAACTTTGTTGAAAAAAAAAAGAAAAACAGCAAAATTATTCTATAAATTCTATAAATTCGTCTCGAAGAATGTAGAATTCAAATTTGCCATACATACTTGCTTCGATTGAATCCTTTCCTTCTAAATATAAATCATTATTATCGTATTATCGTGCTACTTATATATAATAATTAAACACGTGTTAACTCCATAAAAAAATTTTAGGTTAGGTTTGCGTCACACCGCGTGGAAAGCGGGGAACGGTTCACTGGTAGAGCTGGTCGAGTTTGAGGGATATCGATGATTCGAGTCAAGTTTCTATTACGGTCAGATAATAATAGGAGATTACAAGTGAAACTTGCTCGAAAGGTTAAGAGTCGAGGCGGCGGAACAGAGAGCGCGACCACGGAAAATGGGTTAATTAATCGTGTCAATTGTCCATTTACCACCTGGACGAAAAAAAAAAAGAAAAAATCTCGGTTTCATTAGACGTTTACCCGACATTTCCACTCTGAATCACCGAACGCTGCAAGGACTTCTCGTGCAAGGAATCCTCTATATAATAACATTTCCATTCGCCTCTCTTTTCCTCGTTCTCTCTCGCTTCGGTATCTAGCTCATCGCAATATATCTCGGCTCACGCATGCGCAATTAGTGGACGCGTTTAACACAAAGCAGGCGGTTTAATTAACGCGGCAATTTTCAACGGGTCGTCGAGTTATCATCCGGTGAAAAACGTCGCGATATTTTCACCGGATAAGATCGAATCTCCTTTCGAATCTACAAACTCTCCGTTTGTTAATCAACGTGATGAAATCGAAACGATAACGATGCAATCTCGTTAACGAATACACTCTCTGCGACAAAACGATACAGCACACTCTATAATTTTCTCACTATTAATTTGATTTTAAAAAAAGAAAGATCAATAACGTAAAAACGATACATTTGACGAAAATATTGGAATGAAATTATAATTATAATTATAATTATAATTGTCTTTGGAATATTCTCTCTAGTAAAAAAGGAAAATTTTAATCTTTTTCCATATTATTAAGAAAGGTATATTTTATACGGTTTTATAAAGCGTAAAATTTAGATATATTGCATTGTCTCGAGACGATCATAAGGTACACACGATCATTTTGTCGCCGAGCGTAAGTCCATTACATTACTAGTAGCGTGACTGTTCACAATATGAATATTTTACCTTGTTAACCTCGCGACAATGTAATTATCTTCTGGTAAATACGATCAAACGATAGCCTTTAAATATCCGCAGCCGTGAAACGCGTGTTAATTCCTCTCGTGCTAATTGGTCTGTCGGCAATTATCCGCGCGGCGTTAATCCTCGGGATCGTGCGGGATATCGAAACTAAAAAGTTTCTCCTGTGCCAGATAATCTGCACGAGGAACTTCAGGTTCACAACAATATGGTGAACGCGTGTGCGCGGAATCGGTTGTTATTTCCCCGGCACCACTTACGCACCAGTTACGAGCCGAGAAAGGAAATGCATTTCGCGTATGGAGAGCGTCCGGCTGAACCCGATATCGCACGATGCACTATCCTCTATGGAGAGTTCTTAAAACTTAACCGTTTATCCGTTCTTTATCGCGATGCCCGATTATCAACACGATTGTCAGCACCGTAAATTTTAAACTTCTCTTTTCTCTTTCTACCATATCTAATCATTCCCAAATGGAAATGAACGAAGGTAATTTATTAATCGTGTCGATTAACGAATAGCGGTGAATATGTATGGAATACCTTCTTCTACTTGAAGAAGTTTTGATCGAACAGTGGTGATTCGGGATGCAAATATAAACGATAGGAAGGAAGGAAGTTGTTTGGAAAGGGAACTCGAACGTTTGTACTCTCCATAATGGTATTCATAAATAAGTGGCGATATTGCGGCCGTTCCGTAGCGAGGTAATTAAGTTGCTCGAGTTGAACGAGCAATTTCGGGGAAAGTAAATATTCAAATGCTATTATCTCGAAGAGACGCTTCTACAATTTCGTATTCGCGGGAAGGAATAAGGAGGAATAAAAAGTAAGTCTACTTTGCATATCGAGACACCATTCGTCTCTCGTAATAAATAAATTCTTCTCCTAGATTTTTAGAAATTTCTTTCCTACGAAAGGAAATGAATTTGAAACACGTGAAGAGAATTATAATAATTTTTTCGATTCCACGGATTTTTCGATTCACTTTTTAAACGAAGAAAAAGTTCCTTTTGGTTTTCATTCGCAATTTTCGGGATTTTCACAATACAAGAACGTGAATCGAAATGCACGTTCGAAATGGAATGAAAGAACGAATTAGCCAGTCAATGGAGGAACAATTAAACGAGGACGTGGAGGAGCGCGGCAAATTTTTCTTACCGGTTCGCGGAAGACGGTACTCGTTAGGCCAGCGAACTAGAGCGAAAACTTCAAAAACTGGTGAGAGTGGCCGTCGAGAGGCATAGATCGCGTTTCGGTTTGTCTACAATGTAGAATCCAACCGATATTTCGATTCGAAATATTCTCTTCCCGATGGAAATCGACTCGGTCATATTCGAATATTAATGATCCTCGAGCCGCACGGTTTCAGATTTCGTTTCCCTATCCATCTTCGTCTTCTTCTCCGCCTAGAACCGATTTCACGAGATGAGAGCAGCTGTACGATACTTTTTTTTTTTTTAAACGAATAATATAAAACTCCGGTACAATGATTAATATATACCAAATTGTGTCGTTGTAATATGTGTGTCATCTACGTAGAAATACGTATCCAATATTTCATAGATTAAAATCCGGAAGAGAATTTAATTAATAAGAAGAAATTAATTTTTACGTTAATTTGAAATCAAATTTCGACGAGAAATTTTAACATCACAGATAAGATGTTGCATGGATTGTTAAAGTTCTTAAAAAAAAAAAACCGAATAATAATACGGATTACGTGATAAATTTATTATTTCGTTGGAGGGGAAACAACATAGGCATATCCCTTACGAGATATCCATCTCGGATTCCATTCTCATTCCACTCCGATCGGGTGCAATCTTGAGATAACTCGTGCAAGCACGGAGGCGATCCCTGAAACGATCGCTCGAAGCGATGTCCACAGAGGGAGGAGGCGCAGGACTAGACTCCGGACGAGACAGGTAGCGCGAGAGGAGGCCGTCGGCCTCGACTGCGTTCTCCAAGAGGTCGACCCACTTCGCCCAAAGGCGAGAGGGACCGTACTGGTAGGCAGTTACGCGCGTATACGTGCACCTTATACACGATAAATATATCTACGATCTTCTCTTTGCGTTCTATAACGGCCTCACCCTTTCTCCGATTTTCCATCTCTCTCCTTCTCTCTCTTTCACCATCTTCCTTCTCTCCCCCTCGATGCAACTTGAAAACGTATTTTTTCGATAAATAGACAAGATCGATTTTTTCTTTTTTTGAGACGATTGTCGAATACGAGTTGTGTTTCGTTGCAATTGATAGAAAAATTATTTAACATCTCTGGATAGGTATACAAGTCAGATGTACATCTTCGATCAACAAAGCATAGGAAAGATTATAGCAACGAATAAATAAAGAAATTAACAAAAGATAATGATAAGAATAAATTTACGATATTAAAACTACAATTATATATTCTCATTAAAAAAAACAATATTATTATTAAATATTTAATTAATAAATTAAATTATACATGTATAATATAATTATTATTAATCTTAAGTTTTAATAAATTAAGAAAAAAATTAAAAAAGAAAATTTACGCTCGCGAAAAAACCTTAATCTTTTGCTTGATTTCTTTATCGCCACCCCCAATGGGACGGTGAACTCGACAAAAAAAATAAATTAGAGTCGCGTCATCGTTTCCGGAAGCGAAGAATTAACCGCGAGGAATTTTCCTTTCGATCGGGCCGCGGTCTCGCTATCGGGTGTTTACGTCTCGTTTCGTTTGTCCTCGATGTCGATATTAGTCGTCGAAACCCGTAGTGCTCGACCGCGTGTCGTGTCGATCGCACGTGTGTGTCTCTCCCGTGTGCGTGACGATTTTCATAATTCCATCCCGCCTCTCCACCTCTCCACCGCCTCTTGTCCAT